TCCCTGCGTCGTTCAGCATGGTCCTGTTCAAGGGAAGGGATCGTAGAAGGATAGACCCATCGAGGGCTTGTGCTGTGTCATCTGCCAAGACGATGGCAGCGAGGAAAGCTTCGCAGCTTTTACCTGTATAGACACTCCGCATGCTGCTCTAGGAAAATCAGCGTCTGGCAATGATGTTTGCAATCGCAGGCATCATGCAATGTACTGTAGCCCTGTCTGCGCACGCAACAACGTCGCACGTTCATGTCGGTCAACCGTGCACGAGCATCTTGTACAGCTCTGGTCAACTAGTTTCCATCTCTCGTCTTTCTTCTGCAGCCATGGGTGACGAGGAGGCACGGAAGTCCCCACCTCTAGCGACACACGGACATCCCAGCAACCAGTTCGTCACTTAAGCCGTCAGAGCCCCTGCAATTCCGCAAGGTTGCCGCGTTGGTGGTGGACAACGGCAGCGGTATGTGCAAGGCTGGCTTTGCCGGGGACGATGCCCCCCGGGCGGTCTTCCCTTCCATCGTCGGACGCCCGAAGATGCCGGGCATCATGGTGGGCATGGACCAGAAGGACTGTGGCCGTTTGGGGTTTGTGGTAATTACTTAGGTTGCAAACTCGCTGTTCTTCTTTTTGGCGGTTGGGGTTCAAGCGTTTAGTTTTTGTGGCTGTGTTCTTCTTTTTGGCGGTTGGGATTCAAGCATTTACTTCGGGCATCCATCACAGTGATTTGGTGAGGAATGCTTTAAGCTTGGGTGCGTCTGCGCGCAGGATTCCTACGTGGGTGATGAGGCACAGTCCAAGAGAGGTGTGCTCACGCTGAAGTATCCCATCGAGCACGGCATCGTCACGAACTGGGACGACATGGAGCCTCGACCGAACGACATTGTTGAAGCAGGCATGACATGCTGTCAGGCGGCAAGACTGGGAGTTTGCTAGGTCGAGGGGTCTTGTGACTTAGGAGAAGATCTGGCACCACACCTTCTACAACGAGCTGCGTGTGGCCCCAGAGGAGCACCCGGTGCTGCTCACGGAAGCCCCTTTGAACCCCAAAGCCAACCGCGAGCGTATGACGCAGATCATGTTCGAGACCTTCAATGCGGCTGGCTAAAGATTTAAGAATTCCTCCCTTCCTTTATTAATCCTTGTAAAGGTCTTCTATCACACATTCCACACATGCTTGGCTTTCTCTGTAGCCTTTCTAGGTTTGGCCGTGCAGCGCTTTCGTTCGGGTCCATTGACAGAGCCCAGGTGCCGGCCATGTACGTGGCCATCCAGGCCGTGCTGTCTCTCTACGCCTCCGGCCGCACAACCGGCATCGTCATGGACGGATGCTTATGTGTGGATTCCTAGAGTAGAGCGGAATCCATGGAATCACCCAAACTCACGCCCGGAATGCCTCCAACATCGGCAAATATGGCAAGCTGGACTACAGAGTACAAGCCAGCATATTGTTTTAGTCCCTGTCCGCTCGTTTCTTTGCAGGACAGCGG